CCCATTTTGCACTTTCTGCAATAGATAAGGGGAGCTCGGAAGTGACTCAAAATGTAACATCCTTTTTGCTACATTAGAATTAGTCCCAGATGATTTCAAATTTTACTATATGCATTGGCCGCTCTTCGGAATGAGTTCTCAGAGATTTGGTTACTTTGGCAGATGCCTCGGTTTTTCTCACTTTCCACTATAAAAACCCGTAATGTAAGAATGCAAATGAATTTTCTTAAAAAAAATGCAATGAAAAAAAGGATCACGCTCGCCTAACATAAATCCAGGCACTGTTGCCAGCACTCGGTCATCAGTATTTGTACAGCAAATATTTTTTCAGGCCATTTGGTAGCCTCAGCTCTCGGACTCGATTGAGGCGCCCTTTTCCCAAAGAGATCCGAATTGAGCGCCGGCACAGTTCCATCAACGACAATGGTTGGGCTGCAAAAATGAATATCGATCAGTAACAATTATCATAGTGAATACCAGAAAATCTGGAAAATCTACTGTGGATAGTTTTGTTCAAGTCCTCCTCCCCCCCATCCCCCTCAACCCCCTTGCTCCTTCCCCTTTCCTCTTACAAGCCAGTTAAACAAGTTCACAATGGTGAAAGTACTTGCTACTACGCTTTCGATGCCAAACGAAGCCGTAATTGAGAGCACCGTAGATCACCTACCCTGTTCAGAAGGAGCGTTTTCTATAAATTATTCAATGAGTTGTTTTGAAAATCGATGTTATTTTGAAATTTATTATTTGATTAATTACTCCATGGGTGTGCTGAAAGACCTGACAATGTCATCCTCCAGACATCCAGGAATCGACCAATCTACGCAGTTTCTACTTCCCGTTTGTACTATCCGAGCTTCTCAAAAAAAAAAAAATAGGTTTCAGTCAACAGTGAAAGCGTCTTCTCCGACAACATTATAGTGAGGCATGTCGGACTTTCTCATCGCGTTTTTAAACTAATAATTACAAAACAGATGCTCCTCTCACATAAAAATCTTAGCAAAGAAGCACGAAGTTAGCCCACCATGAATTTAAGTGATTGACGAAAACCACTGAAAACTTACGATCAAGGCCTCCCAGGTATTTTATCGTAATTTCGCAATGGCCCCAAACGGCTGAA